CAGAAGATTACAAATCTTAAAGATAAGATTCGTTACATTACAAGCGACTTCAAAAATAGAAGATTACAAATCTTACAAGACCCAACGAACTCGGCACCACGAAAAGCAAGGTAGCAAAGAGGAGCGCGCGGACACGGCTAGGCTCGAAGCGACTCACGTGTCCCAAATTGCTACTCGGAAGGACAAACCGCCATCAGCCTACACTGCTTTTCTTCAAAGGAAGGACGCAGTGCACTCAAGGCGGAAATCGGCAGCACGGCAGGACAACTTCGGAGCAGAGAAGGCGGCGGGCATCTATCTACCCAAGACCGATGTGATACTGCATATGGTGTTGATCTGCACCGGACAGTCTCAAGACAGGCGACGAGGATCAACCCAGAACTGCCAGATGAAGAAACGAAGCCCACATCACAAGACTTCCTCCAACTACCGCCACGTACATCCTGGCACAATGCTGTCGCGGGATTAGCCTACCTCTAATCCCTATCACAAGACTTCCTCCAACCACGACAAGACACGGGAACTACAAAATATGCCCGGGGCTGCTCTACTTCACAAACTACCATGTTCATGACCACGAAGGTTTCAACGGAATATACAATAGATGAAAACAAGCACTCCGGGACAGTATTTATAGACCAAAGGAGCGGCGCACATGGACTAGGAGTACCAACGAAATAAGCCTAACAAAGGACACAGTGAAAGGACAGGACTCAATAATGGATGACTCAGGCGAGAGGAAACAGTACTCGAAGACGAGCATATTCGGAAGAATATACCAGCACAGTACAACCCATGAACAAAAGGCATTTACACTCAACCACCACCATACAACTACATCTGACAGCAGCAGACTATCAAAGAATACGCCAAGACCTCGCATCCGAGTTCTTCCTGAACAAAACAACACGGATATACGCTCGGGGGCTCGGTCAGCATCATAGCTTAATCAACACTAAGCTAAGGAGTTCGGCCTTCATTTCAACTACTCCCGGGGGCTCGGAACCAAAGACAAAAGACAAAGAGTACAAGAAACTCAAGACTACAACGACGACGACACATCAAAACTCTTCATCCGACTTCTTTTCTAAAGAGAAGAACTCGGAGAATGCACGAGGCTGCGGGATACATAGCCCCAGAATTTTTTGAAGACAGGAATCTGGACCCTCCAACTTTTGCAAGCAAAAGCAAGAGGCTCGGGGGCTACACTCAGTGAGTGCAATTTTTATGAAAAATTGCACCCACCAAAAAAGAACCCGGAAAAAAGAACCCGGACATAGGCTCGGAGGTTGCACGCCGCGAAACTACTCGGATGATGGTTTAATCCAAGACTAAAAGACCGCCTCGGAAAAATACCACAAAAACTACTCGGATGATGACAAAATTCAAGTCTCGGGGACTACTTCAGAGCACAGATTTTCAAACAACATAAAGGATCAAGACCCTCCAACTTTTTGTTTCAAATAGCAAGAGGCTCGGGGGCTACACTCAGTGAGTGCACTTTTTCTCCGAAAAAGCGCACGTCACCAAAAGACTTCCTCAACGCAGACCACTTCAAGACATTGCGACAAAAAGAACCCGAAGCGAGCCATATTCGAGTTCTTTTTTGACAAAACTTCAACGAACAATCGAGCAACTTCAAGACAAGATCCTCCGGCTCCTTGTTCCAAATAGCAAGAGGCTCGGGGCTACAACCAGATGGATGTACTTTTTCTTCACAAAGCACTCACCACTCGAAGGTCCCAAGAAGCGCTACAAGGTTTTACTCCGTAAAGCACTTTCGGATAACATTTTGTTCCTACCTAACAAGACTTGAAGGAGCAAAGCGAGACTTTCGAGAGCTCACCATGAAGTGCTCGGGGGGCTTATCGATGCGGGACCCACAGGATACCCCAAGAAGAGAGAGAGAAGATCTAGTTCAACTAGGATTCTTCTCATGTAATCTTAGTAATAGAACTATTAAGTAATCCTACTAGGAAATCTCATTGTAAACCGATTAGGACTCTGGCCTCCTGACTATATAAAGGAGGGCAGGGCTCCTGAAAGAGAACAATGGTACGACATAACACTTCATAATCAATCCAACGCAAAAGGCAAACGCCGACTGGACGTAGGGTCGTTACTCGATCTACGATCGAGGGCCTGAACCAGGATAAATCGATTGTCTCTTGCGTTCACCATCGAGTTCAGCATACGCCGAAACCCGAACGATACTGCCACGGTACCCCTGTGGTAGGCTATCGGTGGTAAAACATCGACAGGTGGGCAAGGCGAATCCGGTAAAGCCAAAATATATATTGTATGCGGGTCAATATTGAGCTTGGTCTCTGTGAATCAAAACCTGTTATATGTGCTTGGTCTCTGAACACCTGATATGGTTGGTCTCCGTGTGAAACAATAACAAACTCTAGCTGATGTATGTTTTATCTTGGTCTCTGTGAGCCAAAGTTTGTTATTATGAACCAATGGCGTTGGAATGTAAGGGTCTGTTTGTTTGGCAGGGCTCTGGCTCCTCTAAAAATGGCTCCGGCTCTGGCTCCTTTGAAGGAGCAGCTCATCTGGAGAAGCTAAAACCGTTCTGGAAAACGTTTGGCAAAATGGCTCATTCGCACTAGACGACGTGAACCCATAGCAAGGAGCCGCGCGAAGCTTGTTTTTTAGGCTTCTCCTGCAGGAAAAAAATGGCTCCAGCTCTTGACCGGCTCCCCATGCGAAGCCCTTTCCAAAACAGGCGTTTGGCACAGCTCCTGCAGGAGCCGGAGCTGAAGCCCCTGCAGGAGCCCTGCCAAAGAGGCTCTAAATACGTATTTTGTTTTGCTGTGTACAATGTGAGGGAAAACATTACATAACTATACTTTTATCTGCCCTGGACAAATGTTTTTTTAAGAAAAATTAAATATCACCGAACAGTGTATGTGCTATCAATACTCATGTCTCTCTGTTTAATGGCAAGGGAACGGAAATAGCTAAGGGCTCGCTCGAATTAAGGATCCCTGTTCACTGAAGCTTATTCAAATTAGATAACAAATCCAGCTAGGAATATTTCCAGGGAGTCATTCCTCTTCAAACGAACGTGGCCTAAATATTTCTTCCCTTTTAGAGGAAGGGCAAGATGTCTTTTCATACCACACTTATTAGCAGTAGACCAGAGTGCCAATGAGGGGATTCAAGATTTGAACTGGCGGTACATGAGAGAAGAGAAGTATTGTCCGGCGCAATCATGGAAATCCTATTGAAATATATACCTATAAAATTTTCAAAAAACTCTAAATGATACACATCTATTGTGCATCTATAAATGTATAGTTCTTAAAAGTTGAGATGCAAAATCATTTTTCAAAAAATCATATGAAAATAAAAAAAATAGATGCACATGTACTAGAAGACAAAATCATAGGACGGTGACTCACAAGAAAGAGAAAGGCAGTGTTGCTAGATTGTGAGGTGGGTGTCCTTGGTATAAGTATTCTAGACCCACTGGAACTATCAAAACACAAAATAGAGGGACATCATGTACTCACTCGATCCTCCAAAAAAAAAAAACTAGACATTCTATGATTTTTCACATGGACTAGTATCAAAGAGAAATGACCGTGGTACCCCTATTTATCAAGGTGTTCTCCTCAAATGGAATTGTACATGTAGGCCTGTAGAATGTAGATTACTTGCCATCTTTAGATCTAATTAACCTATGCTTAATTAATGTGGATGCATGGTTCATCATATATCCACGGTGGGCTAGAATTGACAAATCGCACCAAAGTCAAAGTGGTCACAGCAGGCCGGCGGGGTACAATTGTGACAACAGCTATTGTGCTCACATTCCATGTTAATCCTTCATCGCCTATTTGGGCCAGCCCAACAACTAAATCGTGTAGCCTTGGAATCGACTGACAACTACGCTACGTGTAATCCAATCCAACGCAATCCAAATACGCTAAAATACAAACAGTGTGAAAAAAATGAGTGGATCTGCGCAGCCGTCTCGATCTCATCGCGATGTTTCTACTGTCTTGTGGCTGCAGAAAACCTGATATATATATATTTTGGAACATTTATATATGTACTCCAAAAGGACAAAGATAACGTCGTAGTCATCGCAAAATAACAAGATAATAATTAACAACCTTTTTCCGTGCCATTATTTCCTCAGATTTAAAAAATTCTCTATCTTTTCGAACCACTACCCAAAATCCATTCGTTCCTTGTAAATCGATGGATCCATAAAACCAACTCTGAGAGCTTGTTCGGGAGAGCTTCTCCTGCTCTTGGATTTACTGTAGAAGTGATTCTTTCTACAGCAAAAAGAAGAAGAAGAAGATTCTTTGGATTCTCTAAAATAAAATATAGGCAAAATATGTTTTTGTGTCACAATTAAATCACTTTATGAAGTTAGCATAGAATGATTTATTTATACAATATTATTTGACAAAGCTCGTGGATTACATGGTGGGAATGAGCGGCAACCAAAGTCGGGAGCGATGATGACACTTCAATGAAGTGGTGGTGTACATGATGTGGAACATTTAGAAAGAAAGACACAGAAGGATTTTTTTCAAGACATGTCCATAGATATTCGACAAGTGGCCTTCAAAGTAAAGGCGAACATTGATATGCACTTTAGGGTTCTTAAAAACCCGACTTAGCCTTCACCGTTTAGCTGGGTCCTTCTGGGCTTTCCTGTTCATATAAACTTCTTTCCTTCAAGACAGTTTTCGAAACAAAAGTTCCTGAATTCAAATTAGAACCGGCTACACAACACGTCAACACCGCAAAAAATTACTAAAAGCAGGAGGTCAAAACTGCCAAGTGGGTCCCGCGCTACCCCCACCAGGCGCGCGCCACCTCCTCTCGCCACGTGTCGGGTCGCCAAGACGCCAACGGACTGTCCCGTTGGTTCCCGCCACTCCTATCCATCCATATATTTTCCACCGGAAAAAAATAATAAAAATTCTCAGGAAAATAAAACACACAGGGAGGGGAGCGAGAGAGAGAGAGAGAGAGAGAGAGAGAGAGGCGCACTGTTGCGGAAATGCCGCTCCCGGCGTTCCTGGCGGCGGCGGCGAGGCTCGCCGTCCTGGTGGCCGCTGCGGTGACGGCGGCCAACGCGGCCTCCTTCGCGCGGTACCGGCGCCGCCACCTCCGCCGCATCCCCAACCCCATCGACGAGTCCGCCGACCCCCTCGCCGACTTCCGCGCCCTCCCCTTCAACTCCGCCGCCGCCTCCGAGGAGGCCGCAGGTCCCGCTCCCCTCTTCCCCCTCTCGAACCCTATGTCCGCCTTGTACTTGTTTCTACTCCTTGGGTCTAATGGTCCTGGTTATATCATTCTGAAGCGCCGCATTGGTGGGGTTGTCAGTTTTGGTTTTCAGGCAACACAACTGACTAATTTATACAGTATGTATGGTAATTTGTTGCGGAATTGGTTAGCTTTTGTATTCTAAGACGAGTAATTGATCACAGATGGTGTGAATTAATCAGAGAAACTAACTAAAACATGGATGGTTAATGTGAAATTGTAGGTGCAGCGTACTGTATCCCTGCATCATATTCAGTCTTAATCAGTACATCATTGTTAGTCTGCACAAGTCAGAGTCTTTGCTTCATAGATTTGAAATTCCGAACTATAGGTACCTGATTATTGGAAACCAGTTAATATATATCTGTTTCTCGGAAAGCAGTTAATTCCAAGCGACATGGAAGTGCTGAAGGTGTGTTTGATTCTTCGCAGAAGATGGCAATTTCTTCTTTGGGCTAGCGACCGCGCCGGCGCATGTCGAGGACAGGTTGGAAGATGCTTGGCTTCAGTTTGCAGTCGAGCATTCCTGCGATGACAAGGAGGCTGTGCGCGACCATAAGACAGCAGACGCGGTGATGGCATCGGCTGCAGGGGACGGAGGCGCTCAGTTGGCTTCTAGGTCCAGAGGGGATGAAAAGGCTGGTGATGGAGAGAAGAGGAAGCCTCTTAAGGTTGCCATGGAGGCGATGCTCAGGGGGTTTGAAATGTTTTCTGACGGTGGTGAATCTGGTTCTGGCGATAATTGCAGCCACAACGTCGCGGCTTGGCACAATGTTCCTTGTCCGTAAGTGCAATTTGTCTTTTGTCACTTACAACTTTTTCGTCATGTGCTAATATTCTAGATGCTGTCTTTTTTCCTGCACAGTATTGTGCATAATGTGTTGCTTACACTCAATGGATGCTCACATGTGGGCAAACTGTACCAATTTGTTCAGGCAAGAAAGGCTTAAGTTTTGGTCTGATCCCGATACTGAGTTGAAACTTGCTAAGGAAACTGGGATCAGTGTTTTCCGCCTCGGGATTGATTGGACAAGGATAATGCCTAAGGAACCAACTGAAGAGTTGAAGAGTTCAGTAAGTCTTAGGAACCTACTCTGCACTTCATGTGCTTTCTCTGAACACCTATACTCTTTCTTCTCTGTGTAGTGTGTTTTACTCTCTGCAATGGTGGAATAAGACATCCGCCACCTTTTCTAGGTCAATTTTGCAGCACTCGAGCGATATAGATGGATAATTCAAAGGGTTCGTGAATATGGAATGAAAGTGATGCTTACGTTATTTCACCACTCACTTCCACCTTGGGCTGGAGAATATGGTGGGTGGAGGATGGAAAAAACCACGAAGTACTTTATGGATTTTGTGAGGTAATGCTTTCTAGCAGTCAAACTGGCTGTCAGGACTCTTCCATTACATGAATCTGTTCAAATAAAGTTAGTTTTGGCTGTGCAGGCTTGTTGTTGATCGTGTATCTGATTTGGTGGACTACTGGGTGGTTTTTAATGAACCTCATGTGTTTGTAATGCTGACCTATTGTGCTGGTGCTTGGCCTGGTGGAGACCCTAATGCAATTGAAGTAGCAACATCTGCTTTACCAACTGGTGTATATAACCAAGCATTACATTGGATGGCTATTGCACATGCAGAAGCCTATGACTACATACATTCAGAAAGGTATATAATACGTTACTTGAAATGCAATTTCTCTAACGAATTTCCACAATTCTGAGTGGAACTCTTTGGTGATTTATACAGAAAAAGTAAAAGGAAGCCAATCGTTGGTGTCGCTCATCATGTATCGTTTACACGGCCCTATGGTCTATTTGATGTTGCTGCTGTCACACTGGCTAATTCATTGACCCTTTTCCCTTACATTGATAGCATATGTGATAAATTGGATTTTATTGGCATCAACTACTATGGGCAGGTAAATTAAATACTAGCTGCTTAGATAAATAATCCGAACATGTAAGCAACAGGAGCTGCTTACTCCATTTTCATGCAGGAGGTGATATCTGGCCCTGGTCTAAAGCTCGTGGACGATGATGAGTACAGTGAATCTGGTCGTGGTGTTTATCCTGATGGGCTGTTTCGTATCCTGATTCAGTTTAATGAAAGATACAAGAGCTTAAATATACCTTTTATAATTACTGAAAATGGAGTTTCTGACGAGACTGATCTGATTCGCAAACCATATATTCTGGAGCACCTGTTAGCCATTTATGCTGCAATCATTATGGTCCGTTCTTATATTAATTTGTAATGAAACATTCCTTACTGTCATGTATATATAACTTCCAGCACTGATAGACATTGTTTTAAAGGGTGTGCCTGTGCTTGGTTATCTATTCTGGACGATGTCAGATAATTGGGAATGGGCAGATGGCTATGGTCCCAAGTTTGGGCTTGTAGCTGTTGATCGTTCTAACAACCTAGCACGGAAACCTAGGCCTTCATACTATTTATTCTCCAAGGTGATCTCTGATCTCAGCAAATTATTATACAGTATCCTGTGTACACATTGTCTGGAAAAGTATAAAACAAATTTGTAATGTTTGTGCATCTTGTTTCTTGGGTCCCTTGTTTTGCATAAAATTATGCAGACTTGTGATAACTTAATTTCTCACTCCCCTTTTTTTCATATTAGCATTTGGTGTTTCTTTGATGATCTTAACAAAATGCACTTGAACTTCAGGTTGTTACAACTGGGAAAATTACAAGACAGGACAGACTGGGTGCTTGGAGGGAGCTGCAACAAGCAGCATTTCAGAAGAAAACACGCCCATTTTTCAGGGCAGTAGATAAACATGGTCGGATGTATGCAGGTGTGTGGTGATTCTTCTCGAAACATTCTGTTATATATTATTAAATTGACATTATTCATGGGTAATGGCTTGTTTCTCTTAAAACAGCTTGATAAGTAGGATAAACAACCACTATTGACAGATTGTAAAATATGCCAATGGCTACTGCCTTCAGGCTTCTTGGAGTCGAGAGTGACGCTCCATGTTAGTTTTTTCTTATATTGAATTCATACCACAACTCCTTCAGTTGAATTATATAATTTTTTTTGTACAGTTGAATTACATAATTACCAAAGGGCATAGAGAGAAAAAAAACCTAGCTGAAATAGAAATTTTAGTTGGTATAAACTGTGGTTGCTGTCCCCACCTAAGAAAAATGAGCCTTTTGTTCTTCAGGGGGTTTAGATCGGCCTATCCAGAGACCATTCATATTGCGGGATTGGCGATTTGGTCATTATGAAATGGAAGGCTTGCAGGATCCTTTCAGTCGCTTTATAAGATCCATTTTTTCACCAATTTTGCGCAAGAAGAAGATTCATTACATTGAGTATGAGGATATTTCTTATGCTATTTCTCCCTGATGCTTGTTACTCTAGTTGGTGAGTCAAGAGAATGTCAGAATCTGATTTTTCCCTTTCACCATATATCATCTATCTAAAATTGCTTGCTCTTGTTTCTGTAGGTAAAGTAGCATGATTTGTCTTCTAGATAAAGTAAATAAAAAGTTCCTTGAAGCAGAAGTTTCTCTTTTTTGTTGATAAATTACTATGTGCACTATTTATCATGGCAGTAAGTATCTTATATATACCTTTCTTTTTATTTTATTGTTATCTCCTCCGGAATTATTTGCATGTTAAATTCTTCATTTGACTGAAGATTTGGCTGTTTTAGCATCATGTGGACCCATATCCTACTAAATTTTGTTTTACCAACCCAAAATATCTACATCTGCTAGCTCAGACCTATGTCTTGCTCTTCTTAATTGAAGATGCTTTTGGGGAAATGTCTGACTGACCATGTGGGCAACAAAGACACTGTTGTCTAATCCTCTGTGATTCATCAACGTCTTTGTGAATATACACATTCAAGTCATCTGAGTTAATGGCAGCTATTTCTGATCTAAATCCCTGCATCCATCACATGATCAGAGCTACCATCATTACAGGAGTGTCAAACTAACTCTGACACTGTTTTTCCAAGTAATCCCCTGCGTAGGTATATCCACCATGCATCAGTCATGAGTTATCTTCCCACATTTATAATTTTTATTATCCATTATATATCATTGGCCATAGTCTCCATAAAGAAATGAAATTTTGTCATAAAGTAAGCAGGCTTGGCACAGTTAGGATATTTACCAATGCCATTATGAGGTGAGTGGCATACAAATGATTTAACTTTAGTGTGAATGTTTTTGCATAAAAATTGAAATAAAACTTGTCAGCAGAAGGTACAATGATAGCCAATTATTCACCTTAAGTGAAGTTGACACATGTAGCCGTGGAGAGGCTATTTAGTTCTGTAATTGAATTCATCCTTGACGGGGTGGGTGTAGGACGGGAGATGGTCCGGTTTCATAGTACTTCGATGCACAAAGCGGATATGCCTAACTGTGTTAGCCAATTTTAAGTATTCGGTGCGATTAATGCAGATCTATCCTCCACAAGCTCATGATTTCGAGTGCTCCTCCCGTCCTCAAAATTTAGTACCGCCATATCTTATTGTAACAGTTCTGGTCCTTACCTGACTTTTGGGAACTTCTCTAAAGGCCGTGTATGTCTTCTATGAAGGAACCAGTCCACTAACTTCTGTATGTATGCTACATTACATAGTACGGGACAACTAAATTTGTGGTATGTGCATATCCTGATATCCACTTACAGGACTGGTCATGCACTCTGCTGTAACTAACACCCCCCAGTGGGATCCATAATATAATTTTTTTGGAAAAAAATATAGTAAAGGTTCCTTCGGGCTAGTTCCTCAGCCTGTTCGCTTGGTCGTATTTGGCTTATAAGCCATGGCTTATCTGCTAACGAACAATATTTTTCTCACACCAAACCAGCCAACAGTACTTTCAGCCATGGCTTATAAGCCAAACCAGCCCAAACGAACAGGGCGCCTATCCAGGAATCCTCTGGTCTTCTCCCCCGTGTGATTGTCCTCAGGCACCACCTCCCCCAACCCCCACTGCCGCTGGAAGGCTGCTGCACAAGCTTGTGGTCCGTAGGGCCAAGCTTGGCACTGGCCGGCTTCGACACAAATGGTCCTGAATCTGGTGCAGGGTGGTTGATCACAGACAGGGGTATATTGGTAATTTTCACGTGTTCCTTAGTCTCTCCTTGGGAACATAGACGGAGGGAATACATCCTTTTGAAGCTGAACTATTGGACATGTTAATCATTGATCTCTTGGTGCTAAACAATCTAATAGAAAGTCTTAGCAATAACATATATTGAGTTTCCTTGTCATCAAGGTTGTTCTGTCTTGTGGTATGGTCTAACAACCCTACTGTCTATTGGACCACTTTGATCCTAACACTAGTTTGATCTCGCTCCCTCAATCCATAAAAGCATATCATTTGGTTTTTGGGCATCAGCATGGGCTCCAAAATGCAGCATCTGTATTTAGTATATCTTTAAATCATAGTAGGTCATTAGTATTATAAAAGTACTTTGCAAGGCAAACTTGCATGTATCCCAAAAATGACACTTTATTTGTAGTGGGAAAACTTCATAATATAGAGGCCAACAAATTGTACTTTCAATAATCATGATTTTGATCATCCCATGGCCTGATGATACAGTCATAGGATCTTGATTCTATAAACTGGAAAACATCCTAGGATCCTGATTCTATAAACAGGAAAATGGTCCCTATCACCTTACGTGATGGTTTGTATAGCTAACCTTGACTGTCGTCTCTTATTTTAATCTTGTGGATAAAACTTTCATCTTCCACTTGTGCACTTGCTAAAGTCTATTATTGCAAACAACAACAAATGGTTGCAAAGACCATTTAGTGATCATAATTACAAGTCATGCAAATATTGTTTCCCCTTTTATAGATTAGACTTTTTGTTCCTTCTTATTCACATGCCTTTTCATGTCTTTTTTTTTGTGAAGTAAAGATGGAAAATAAAAAAATACATAACACTTCATAGTATTATGTTGTCTGAAATAAGACAAAAAATATGACAAGAGAGCATCATGTAGTGGTATTTTCTCTGAAACAATATTAGTAATATAGAGCTATACATCCAAAGGTGTTATTTTATCTGTATAGTACATGGAAAAAGCATCATGCGGTGGTATTTTCTCTGCAAAGAGAAAAAAAAGGAAACATCTCATAGAAGTCCACAGCATGCTTCATATTAGTAATATAGAGCTACATAGTACATGAAAGGAAGTTGGGTGGTTGCCTTACAGGACAATAGATGCCAGGGCAATCATACAACTGCAGTATATAGGAAGAACTTTGGGTTATCACTTTCGAGGTACATAGACGGACAATAAAGCACTAGTTCAATCATTATTTAAATATGTAGGATTAAGGGCTGACGATGACCGTTAAATCCAAATACCAGTGGATGCAGAAGGATCAGTTGTTCTTAACAACTCGTGGAGCTCTCTCCATGAGGACCACTGGTTTCGGTGCAGCACAGTTCATCTTCACATTCTCCTTCTCTGGGACATGGAAAGCTGATGCAGGGAAGGTTTTCTTAATCCCAGCAATGCTCTTGCAGATAAGCTTTCCAGTTGCTGGATCATCAAGAGCAATCTCCTCCACTGGGACCCACACCATGAGCTCCCTGGTCTTTATCCCTTTTACCTTCTTGATCCTGCCCTTCTCGGCATAGCCGGTGATCTCTGTGCCATAAGAGACCATCCTTCCTAGACTCTGGAAGGTGTGGTCAACCCTCTTGCTTTGCTTGAGCCACACATATCCAGTTTCCTGGACATAACCACACTCGATTAGGTCCTTCAATGGAAGCAGACCATTGGGGAGGCCTGCTTCCCTGAGCAAGAGCTGGGTACACAGTTGGCAGATCTCGTTGCCGTAGTAGACCTCAGCCTTGGCCTTGAGTTCATCGGCTATAAGAGCCATGTTCTATGGGCTATATCTCTTTTCTCCCACTCTCACCTTTCTTTTTCTTTGCTCTGATCACGTTTTGAGGCTTTGCTGTGTGTGATATGATTCTGCAGTGCATGGCTGGCTTTATATAGGAAATGCCTTATAAAATTGTGCTTCAACATGTTAGGAATTTTCCATCTTGCCATTTTCTATGAAGGACATATAACATATAATAATGGTCATAAAACCTGTAGGGTCCTCTTCTCAGGTTTAATGTTGAAGCAGTGTAAAATATCTTGTGTGTGGAGTATAAGATGGCCCAACTGGAGTTATGTCATGTGACCACCGGTTGAGACTTGGAGTCTACCCACCGGTCATGGTAGTTCATACTATTTTAGTTTTGATTCATTTTTTCTATCTCGCCCTGTCGGTACAAATAAATGGTCCAAACTCTTGTATATAGTTGAGCAATTGGAGAGTATACATGGATAGTTGAGCAGGTAGAAATGTATGTAAGTCACTAGTGTTGGTTTCTGACTTAGAAAAGTTGCCTCAGGTGAGATCAGAGTTCTACTAGTGCCCCTGCTGTCTCTGTTTTGCTGGACATCTTTGAAAAATTATCTTTGAAGAATGTGTATTGTGTGAGCTATTTCAGTGAGAGGAGTGTTGTAGATTGGCTTATAAGAATGTATACTTCCTCCATTCCAACCTCCAAATTATAAGTCATTCCAATTTTCTTGAAGAGTCAAAGCATCTTAGTTTGATCAAAATTACAGAGAGAATTACAAAGATTTATGACAACAAATAGGTATACTACGAAAAATATAATTAATGAAGAATTAAATGTTATTATTTTATTATATATAAATTTGCTCAAACTTGAGATGTTTTGACTCTATAAGAAAGTTGAAATGACTTATAATTTGGGACGGGGAGGGAGCATAACCAAAAAAGATGTGGATATTGAGCAGGGGAGTAACTTAGGTATGTTAAACCTTAAAACAAGAACATAACTTATACTAATTTCTGAATTTGGTGGAGGGGTGTTGTAATTTATTGGAACATAAAACTGTTCTGGCATGTTATTGAGATTCGTATGAGTGAGTCACCAAGCATGTTCTGTGAAAATTACGAGTTACCAAGCATGTGCTGAATTTATCTGGTACAGATTTATCCTGGCACCTCGGACCCTTCTGCAGCAACTTCTTGATTGACACCTAAATTTGACTTACAGATCTATCTAGTACAATCTTTATTGAAGACGAAAGATTTATGAATGGTGTTTAGTTGAGCCTGTTGGGGATCATGTGCGAAGAAAAGAAAGCAAATGGAGCACAGAGAAGGATCAGATTGGAGTCCGTAGTTTGTTAAGCTCCTGTATGAAGTACACGTGCAATACGGAAGACATCAGGATATTATACATAGAAGCAAAGAAAAGGATACTTTACTTCGGCAACGTTGCACGGAAGGAAACACCAAGATAAGTCCAAGGTTGTTGACGTAGTGCATGCAACATGCATTGATCTTGGATGCAACTTTGTTTGCTAGAAGACGACGACCAGTGACCTGTTCTTTTGGGATACATCGGCCGTGGAACAAAGACCGACATAGTTGTGTATTTACGTATGCAAAATACCGAAGTGTTTGTATTCGGCTCGGAATTTCTATATGTAAAGGACAGACTAACCGTTCTATATAATTATAAAGGGTGACGGCCGATTGACAAATCCAACACTCAATCATCAAAATCAATCTACCTTATACTTTTTATCTTCTACTATATACCTCAAGCTTTTTCAATCCTCTTGTTGTACAGCACATCTCTCGATGAGATATATCAGCATTCTATATGGTCTTGCTGATCTTAGGACATCCCGCCGTGTGTTCTTCCCCCTGAGACCTACAAGTGTGTGATCCGAGTTGGCGGCAACACAACTGTAAGCCGGTAAACTGCCAACCAACTAAAACTAATGCACTTCATCCGATCCACTACTGCCCAACACCTGACACACTTGCCATGCTCAATACCTGCACTGTACATGTTGCGTATTCAATGTTGTAACATGTAAGCTCTAGAGACGTGACGTTCTTAGTCTTGATGGATAATCTGGTCATTTGTATGAGGTGTGCATTTAGGTTCTTGACCTAACATCTCCTCAGAAGACAGTTTTGAGCAGTGGGCCAATTGAATTGGTCCTGATGAGGTGAAGCTCCAGGGCTTTATTTATCTTGTGCTATTATTTCATCTCTATGTTCGGTAGTCAGTACAATCCAGCTTTTGGTCATTTTGATACAAACAGTTTGGATTACTGCCAATCTATGTTCACTCTGTCCATCATGTCTCACCTTGGTACTATGTATTGGGCCTCCCTATCTACTCGCTTTATTGTCGTCATGGTCCTGCATGTGCCTAGTCTCTTCCTTCCCTAACACGGTATTGGAGGTCCTGTATATTCTGATTCATGAATCTGGAGGTACCTCGTATGTATCGTCACATTATACAATAAATAATGAAAATACAAGTGCAAAGGATGGGCATAGGGTTCAGGTAGCCGTCCAAGTGTACTGTAGCCGGTGTAGACGGCCGAGATTATGTGGTACCATGCTCCAGTTGTGCCTGTAGCATATGGGAAGAGGATGGATAAAGGCAGGAGGAGGTACATGATGTGGGGTGGTGCATGCATGTGCTTAGTTAATGCCATAATGGTGATGCTGTCTTCCCCTTCTTTCAGGCCACCCAATCAGCCTCCAGCTATTATGTGTGTAACTATACAAGTACATAGATTGGTACAGATCTTATTGCCTGCCAGAAAATGATTAGTGATAGATAATGAATTCATGTAACAATGTAGGAGTATATATATGTAACACAATGAATTCAAGTATTTTCATGTTTAGAAACTTGCACCACATGTATTGATACGTTGAAGAACATGATCAATTGACTTGTTTTTACATTAAGATTTGGATGTTGTCTTGTGTATCTTATAGACTTAGTGTTCACGCAGAGATGTATCCTCGGATCACACACCCGCAAAGGCTAGTATGCCCGTGGTTGCAAGCAACCGGTGGCAGTAACAAAAGGGCTAGTACACCCGTGGTTACAAGCAACTGGTGGTAGTAACAAAACCATGGTTGCAAGCAACCGGTGGTAGTAACAAAAAACTGCAGCAAATCGACGAGACCGATCGAGGGATCGGTTAGGCCGATGTTGAGCCCGTTCTTCGACTGATAGATGCCCGAACTTCTCCTGGGAAGACCCGTCGGGGAGGAGCACGTGGAGGATCTCTTGGGACCAGCAAGGCCGCCTAGGATGCCGACAAACTTCGCTGGGAGACGTGCCGAACAGCAGGAGAGGTTGGAAGAAAGAGTAAAGAGGCAAAAGAGAGGTAGTAGATGTATTTTTGTTCGATTCAATAGATGGGAACTCAATCGGCCATGTACCTCTTGTTTTATGGCCCGTTCGGCTGGTGCAAAATTCCTCTCACAAATTCCTCCAGATTCATCCAGATTCCTCCAAGCGAACGGGGCCTATATTATCATTACCATAGTCACTACTGGAATCTCGCATTTTTCTGTGGGTGATAATTTTTTCTATGTGTTTTTTTCGGTACGCACAGAAAAATTACGATTTTTCTGTCGGTTCCAAAATATCCCGACAGAAAAATACTAAAACCCTGTGCGTGACAATACACACACGGAAAAAATCAACACTCATAGAAAAATACAATTTATTCTGTCGGTTTTTTAAAAACGCACAGAAAAAAATGTACACGCACAGAAAAATCCTAACCCTAACCCGCCGGCCACCGCGCCCCCAAACACCCTCTCACGCACGCACTAGACCGCGCCCCCTCCCTCACTCTCTCTCCTTTCAAGGCCCCCCTCTGTGACTCGGCATTGCGCGCCCCTCCCTCTGCTACTCGGCGTGGGGACTCCTCCTCCCCGAGCAGCGCCGCCTCCCTCTCCTCTCCTCCTCTCCTCTTCATCGACGCTTGTGGCGCTGCCCTCTACTTCACCCCCGGATCCGGCCAAATCCATGGTGGGCGCGCCCCCAGGCGGCTGGATCCGGCACCACCACCTCCATGCCGACGACCGAGCAGACCCCGTTGTCTCCTTTGTCCCTCCTCTCCTCTCCTCTCCTCTCCAGTCTTTGTCCCCAATCGCATTCTCATCGCATGGATCGGCGACCACCGCGCCCCGACGACTACGACGAGGAGGAGCTAGGAGACGAATCGGTGCAAGCAACGGGGTCAAAGACAAGGAGGCCGATCCATCCTCCAGCTTTCGATCCGATCCGATCCGACGATATGGTGAGGTGCTCAGTTCTCCTCTCCCTCCCTCCCTCCCTCCCTCCCTGCAGATCCCGGTGCTATACTAACGTCGTGGTGGATGTGCTTGGCCAGGTATGCGTCGCGTGCCTGCTGCCACTCTTCCTGATCCCGGTGGTCAACGCCCTCCCTTACCTCATCGACCTCGTCATCGTACGGATCCTTCTTTCTCTCTCTATCTCTCTGGTTTCTGTAAGATCCTACCAGGCATCGCCCGTGGTGGTTAGGGGTTCTATCGATTCAGTGGTGGTGGGGGATTTTCAAGCTTTTCTGTCTAGTCTGCTGCCCTGGTGGTTTTGTCTTGGGCTCGTGGATTCGTTGGAGCAAGAAACCAGAGCCCACCGTTCCTATAGAGAAGAGTAGACAGACCTTGATGTCGATTATCGATTGTTGTTGGTATGAGCCAGCTACGGCCAGAGCTGGTTTTCTTTTCTATGATGATTTGGTTTGGATTTTATGATCACGTTTCCTTAGCAGCAGTTCATACCCACCCAGATTTCCTCATCAGATTCACATAGCAATAACATCATGCAGTAAATTGATAAGCAATATGCATTTTGGATTATTATGAATTCTTGTGCCCAGCAGCTTCGTGTCCTATAGATTGTTGATTCTAGATATCAGCTTCTTGTGCAGTAAATTCAGCTTCTAGATGCATGTGAATAACTATACAACATACCTCCTTTTGATTAGTGGTAATACTACAGATGCAAGATTTGAGAATAAACCAATTCCTGAGTCCTGACACTGTAATGAATAAAGGAAACCATAATTTCAATTTAGACAGGCAACATGGAAGATATTGGATTGTTGATTTTCTTTTTTTCGGGAGTAGTATGCACCTTTTACAACAATAGTGGTTCAGTGACGTCGGCTGGGTCTAGCCATGTACTCATGCCTAAGTTTGTCTAGGCCTTATGGGATTAGCTGGAACAATAAATCATTGATCCTCTAGGGAGGATCTACCTGTCAATTACAAAGATTCGTGTATGTGATTTGGAAGAGCCAGCTAGGGGCCGAAGCTGGTTTATTTTCATTGACGGTTTTGTTAGGTTTTCTAGGATTATATTATATGGTCAGTTGCTTAAGAATAATTCTGTCAGAACCATACATCTGATCTGTGAACCAAAAATGATAGTGATGCGTTCTCTGACTGCACATAGCCTTGTAGGTTTACATGTGCATTTGGTCACATGAATGAAGAGGATCTCTGTTTCATTTCTAGTTTCTAATAAAATTCCGTTGCTTACATTATGGAATTTGATTTGTATCTTGGACAGTTTCCAGAGCAAGGTGTATCGGCTATTTGGATGGGAGTACCGGAGACCTGAAAGAGTCCCACCTGCTTGTCCTTACAAGCCTGCAGCTCAGAAGAACGTGAGGTACGCCTACATGTTCATCCTACCTTTTGTGCCCTTATATGCTCATGCTACAGTGCATCTCCCAATTGCTTATTGTACTCCGCCTTTACAGGGTGCAAGTGAATCAAAACCCCTAGCCAATCCACATGGTGCTGCGGCAGAAGATAAGAAAGAGGAATAATTTATGTATTGAAAATCCTGCTCATGTCAGTAGGCGCTTAAAATGGAGTATGCTTCTTTCTAATTTCACCTTTTTTATATGGACTATTTTAGTGTTTTACACAGCACTCCATATAGGCTTTAGTGTATTAGGAGTATGCTTCTTTCTAATTCCACCAACTTGATTGAAGGCACATGAGATGCCAATTTTTCACTTCTTTGAATGCCATATGGAATGTGCAACATCACGCAAATCAAGACCCAAGAGGAGTTACAAAACTGTTTTTTTGTTCTTTACTCGATTTGGCAAATGCACTTCATTTTTGCTTAAGGAAGATGAAAGTGACCAGTTTTTTGCTCGACTTTTATGCATTATTTTCCCATGAGCTGCCATTTTCTCGAATATTTTGCTCTCCAACTTAAGTATTATACAACACCTCAGAATATCTAATTAACCCAATCAAACTAGAATAGACACGTTAGCGATGATCCTAAACAAGGCAAGAATCTACCAATCCCGAAGTCCTTGGGTGTTTGGGAATAAATGTCCCAGCTAGGTTAGTGCATGAAATAATGAAAGCTGTTGGTAGTTCAGAAAAATAATATTCATGTTGAAGAGTGTATTTTTAGGCCATGTACATGAACCCACTCAAAAATTGAAGGTCTTGTCCTGACGGATGACCATCCGTCTGATATTAGTATTTTTAATTATAAAAATCCAAAGCAAATCACGAAAATCACGAAACTTGGCGGTGTCATGTAAAAATTTTCATGTCATCGGATACCATGTCCAATTTGGCGATATTTGTGAGCATCATATCGTCATCGATGTGAGATATCCGTGACATTGATATCATATGTGATGAAACATTTTGTCACCATATCCAATATCAAGGACAACTTTGTATTTCTTGGTGGAAAAATTGAATCTTGTTGACATTAATATTAAAACATGCCAAATTTGTACATTGTACTTGAAACAATATGTTTGACAAACCTTTAAAAAAATAAAAAGGAAGGATAAACTTGATTGAAGGCACATGAGATGCCAATAAGTTTCCTCACTTGCTGAATGCCATATGGAATAGACCTCCTTGCCTTCTCTTGGTGTCAATGAGGTAAAGACTACAGTGTCTGGCTCCTCTGTGATCCTGTGCATCAATTGTTGTCCGATTTTGAATATTTAGCATCACCATTGCTTACAGCACTTTGAATCATCATTTTTCAACAATGATTTCTAGCCTTCTATTATTTAGCGGCTCACCCTTTGATACCTTCCGAGTGTGTCTTTTTACCCAAGAGGTTGCATCTGGGAGATTCAACCCGAGATAACTTTTGCTTACCCTTTCTAGTTTCTTTAGTTCTTTACTCTGATTTGGCAAATAGATCCATGTCAGGTCTTTGCTCAATTTTTAGTGGAGTTACAAGTAACAAGAGGGCATGTCTTATGGATGAGAATAAGAAGAGTAAGAATTCTAAGTCTTCCTCGGCCCCCGAACCATTGCCCTGGTAAGTGAAGTTTGTCTTCGTGGCCTTGATTCAGATGAGCATTTTGAAGTTCTTTTGGTTTGATGTTGGACTTGTTTTTTATGACATTATGTGTTGTCAGGGAGAAAAAAGTTCAATTGCTCCTGCTGATGAGATTAACACTGAGCTTTCATTGTAGCTAGAAAAATAACAGGCATGAACTGCTTCACCATGCCAACAACAGCCATGCATAGTCTGTGCACATTCTTGCCTTGGCCCTTTCATTGTAGCTGCTGTTTGCATATGCATTTTAATTGTGCAAGCAAGCAAATATATCCGACTTGTAATGCTCATCATGTTTTCCAATTGGCAATGCACATGCTCTAGAAATTCATAAGGTGAAATATATATTCTACTGCTCGGCTTCAGTCTCAAGCAAGTCTTTACTGCCTTACTGGTGCATCTCACTGCCTTACTGGAAGTACAGTACAAAAACAGATGCTACATTTGTTTATATTTACCTGCACCTCACTGTTCTACATAGATTGAAGCTCATTATTCAGGTTCTTGGACTTTGGAATATTTGATGTTTTTCATGGTCTGAAGCTTATAGTGAACTGTTCTGTCTCTCTCAGGTTTATGCTAGTGAAATTAGAGGAGATATGGAAGGAGGTTCAGTGCCCTATCTGCTTGGGTGAGAATATCCTTTCTCATTCTTCAGTTTTCTCGCATGACTAAAGCATTCATATTAAGGAGCTGTGTTTGTGTATTGGATACTAGCTGTTTGCTAGTACAAACTCATCTTCTAGTCAATTGTAGCACAATAATATGGCTGCCTTGTATCATATATATACATGTCATTTTTTATGGTTCACCCCAGATGCTGAAAGTTCGAGAATTCCATTGCTTGATTTGCATCATTTTCTATCAGATGATGATAATATGGCTGCCTTGTATCATATATATATACATGTTATTTTTTATGGTTCACCCCAAATGTTAGAAGTTCGAGAATTTCATTGCTTGATTTGCATCATTTTCTATTAGATGATGATATGCCATAGCATCTAATCCTTCTATTTTGCAGGCATTATCCGGAAGACAAGGACAATTATGCAATGTTTGCACTGGTTATATAGAGACTACATTGACAAATCTATGCAGAGAGTGATTGGAGATGAATGATTATGCGTGTAGCTACTGCATATATCGTCATCAAATGGCTTGTTGTAAAGACATACAATACCTTTTGTTGAGCAATGAACTATCTGTGTATGTGCTATATCTATGTAAAGACATCTGACTTGCTAATACATGAATGAAGCAATGTTTGTTAATTTGATTATGTTGTGATGAAATTACAGTATCGGCAATCCATATTTAATATGTTGTTGCTACTATTCTGTTTCTATATAATTATTGTATCCAATTTGCTGCATGGTTAAGGGTTTTTCTGTCGGTGGTTTGTTATTTTTCTGTGCGTTAACCGACACAACATTTAAATTTAATCTGGTCAATGCAATTTTTCTGTGCGTGTAACACCCACAGAAAAATCATTTTTCTGTCGGGCTTTTCTTTTTTCTGTGAGGATCAACGCACACAACATTTAAATTTAATCTGGGCTAACGCAATTTTTCTGTGCGTGTAACACCCACAGAAAAATTGTTTCTGACGGCGAACACACAGAACAATTGAATTTTTCTGTCATTATATTTCTGTGGGTATTTTTCTGAGGGTACGCCGTCAGAAAAATATTTTTCTGATGGTATTCGCATTTTTCTGTGTGTTTTCGCACACACAGAAAAATGCGAGATTCCGGTAGTGAGGCATCTGTTACCCATCCGAGATTTTTATCCAAATAATAAAAATAAACAAGCGTAAGTACATGTCGTAGTTAACAAGTATAACATGGGGTTCATGAGGCTCAAAAGGCCGAACATAGGTTTCACAGCATTCAACTTTTAATTATCACAATTTTAGCATAAGAGTAGCAACAAGTTGTCTTAATTCCTGAAGTGAAACATATGATCAATGTAAACATGAATAATGAATAGCATAAACAGATAAATATTAGTGATCATTTATTCCATAATTGTTCCAAGGCCGCTCGTGACCGTGAGCACGGCTAATATATCAGTTTTACACTCTGCAGAGGTTCCCATATGCCCGGGTTTATAACTCCCAAAACACTTTCAAGGTGAGCAGGTAGGGCTCACTATGAAGCTTTTCAAAGGCTCGTCTAACAAGTTAGGGCCATTAGATTCACTCGACAAACAGATGTAGAGCCCCCCTTCCCGATGGCACATTGACGCGTAGCCTATACACATGGGGACAGAGGCCGCACTATACCCGATTTGGCAAGTCATTCTTACGCCAATAAAGGTAACCACTAACAAGCTAGAAAAAGTTCTCATATAAAGCTAAAGCTAGAGCCATGTAGCCCTCACAGTTGTACTATAAGTCCCGGATCATCACTTACCGATAAGTCCTTAAGAAGAGGAATCTGAAGCATTTAGAAAGTAGCTAAACACTCCAGTCCCCTATTTTCATATTGCTAAAATGTCATGTTTTAATGTTTACTACATATATCATTATTCAAGTTACAAGATCATGATTTAATTGAGCACTAGCAAAGCTACCCAATGCATAACCCATAGGAAAATAAGATATAAGTTCAATTCTAGGGAATTTCTATCAAGGTGACACATGGAACATGAATTAAATGTATTAAAGTTGATAGAAAATAAGGATAATCCCATGCTATACTTGCCTTGAACAAAGTGCTCCTGCTGATCCTACTCATCAAAGTAGTACTCTTGATCATCCACGAATTGCTCATCGTCTATACTCGGTAACCACAACAACATACAAGCATCCAAAAGCAATCACGCATAGCAAACAAAAGCTATAGATTAGAACAGTACATCAATCAGCAAAAAAACAAGATGAAAAGTTTATAAAACGTATCTACGTCTCGATACGATCACACAGACGCGAAGATCACAAAAATCGAAGCTAAAACGAAGAAGTTATAAATTAAACAATATTTCCTTTAATAAAATAATAGATTAAATCTAACCTCAAATTTTATAAGTTGAAAACATACATAACAGTAGTACGAACATGTAGATTATGAAATTATTAACCAAACGCAACTTGAACGGATCAAATCGGAGTTAAAACGGGGATTTTATGGCTAAAACAAGATTAGTGGCAAAACTGTAAATAAATAAAAACGTATTTTGAATCTAATCCGAAGGAAACTACGCTATCTAAAGAAGAAAATGTATTCTGGAAAGGTGCTATGGACTGCGGATTCTAAAATTAGAAACCCAAGGTGCTCTTTAGCAAAAGTATAGGGACGGTGGGTTAAGATTCAAATAATTGTAATGGCCTTTTTTCAAATATGTCAGCTAAAGGGGTATCGACTGATCTCCACCGTTGGATTAGATTTGAATAGCGCGGATTGGATCGAGCGGGGAAAGTTGACACCGGTGAGGTCGGCGGCGAGCTCCATGGCGGTGCCATGGCCGGAGCGGGCGGCGTTCATGAAACACAACCTATAGACCACCATTGAACAAAGCAAGAGCACGGGGAGAGAGAGGAGATCAAGGCTAGATCGACTAGGTACCTTACCAAGGCGCGGAGCAGGCGGAGGCGGCATGGCGCACGGAGAGGTGGACGGCTCATCGGTGGCTAGGGTTATGTGGTGGCTCAGCGTTTCGGCGAGGATACAGACGGCGCTTTCGGGTCAAGTGAAGGCGGCGCAACGTAGGGGCGCGGCTTTTATGAGGCGAGGCAGCGTGGGAAGCACGCCAAACGGAGGGGGGAAGCGGGGCGAGCGCGGACTCTCGGCCGGTGATGTCCGGCTCGGACACGACGAAGGGGAAGAAGATGCCCCTAACGCTTGGGCCCAGGCTGCCAGTGATAGAGGAAGAGGGGACGGCACGACTGGGCTTCTGTTGGTCCGCGTAAGAGAAAGAGGAAGGCGGTAGCGGGCCACGGTGAAGAAGCAGCCAGCTAGGCCTACGGTGGCATGCTGGGCTTCGGCCTGAGTGGCCCATGAGCAAGGAAGGAGAGAGAGTGGGCCAGCGCGAAGCTAAGGCAGGCCGAGCTGGGCTGCGGCGGCCGAATTCCGAGAAGAGAAGAATAAAATCCTTTTCTATTTTCTAAACTAATTTTCCAAACAAATTTTGAATACAAATTCAAATCAATTTGAAATTTGATTTCAAACCACACAATACAAAAATACTATGCAGCAACATAAATGCACATACATATGGGTAAACCTTGTATTTGATTTTAATTTCAGCAAAGTTATTATTTTTCTAAATTTAAATGCCCACAAAAATGCATAATAAATCAAATTCTCCTATTTTAAAATGTTGAAATTTTTAGGGTGTTACCTGCAAACTGTAACATGGAGTTGATACGAATTACGATACAATACGGATAGTAATAGTTCTACATCTTATGGTCAGTGAGATATAGCTATTGATAGAAGGTAGCACCTACCATGAGTACGTCTGCATGCATCGACATTGAATTATATTTTCCTTCCTCCGTCCCAAAAAGAAAGTCACTGTGAGGTCGTGCCCATCAAACTTTTTAAAATTTGACTAGATTTATAGAATATATTAACGATATTTGTATCTCTAAATAAGTTGATTATAAAAATATATTCATCAATTTATCTAATGAAATACTAATTATGCACCACAAATATTAATATTTTCTTAAATATGTTTGATCAAATTTGAAGATGTTTGAATTCGCGAGAAGTTACAATGAGATTCTTTGTGGGACCGAGGGAGTATATCCTAACTTAGACTAGTTTCGAGCAAGCTTGGGCTGTTGTTCTACTATTTTTTTATAGTACTGATACGTGGTGGATCTCCGACAAATAGTGTAGTCTAATATCAAATTAAATACTAAAATTTTAGAAAAATATATGTAGGAGTTTTATATGATAATGAGATTATAATTTCCCACCTCTGCAATTCACATTGATTTGATAAATTGGTAAAAAGTTTTGGTTTGATGGAAAAAAGTGTTCTTCCACCGCTTGCCTTTTTAACTCTGTATAAAAGTACCAATGCTAGCGGCATCCTCCGGAGCCTGTGGAAGTGTTTTTTATTTGACACGTGTTGGAGCATCTCACCCAACCTCTATGCTCATAAAACCACTTCATACACGCACGCTCACCCAACTTTGCAACGGGCTGAGAAAAAAGCTTGTTGAGCTAGCTCGGTGGCTCGTTTCAAAAGTGCTTCGATTAAACTCATTTTTATTTAAAACAAAAATGACTTGACTTGAATGACTTTCTCCTTCGGCTTGGCTCGTTAAGCTCAGTTTGAATTTGGGTCTGAACCAATTCAGGAGAATATGATAAATTATATTATGCCAATTTCGATGAAAGCTAAAAACAGGTGTTGTTTGCTCCTTGTCCATCCCTAGAGCATTATTCAAATCTTTCAACTGATAGAGGCAGCAACAATGGATTTTTTTGTGTCCAGAGGCAAGAAATAACGATTGCAAAAAATCCTTCCTTTTTCTTTCATTTCAAAAGTGCATAAAAATTATATTGCCAATTCCATTTTAATTATATTCTTTTTTCTTAATGTTAATAAAAAAAAGAAGAAAATTCTTGTTTTTTCTTTCCAAAATTCGATATAGGCTGAGAGACAATCAGATCGATTTTCTCTTCAGCGGGCAGTTCCATATAGAATTTGTTAGAATAAAACAAGCGGGTTATAAAAAAAACTCTTTTTTTTTATCCACAAAGCAAAAAAGGTTCTTATCAAACCCACAATAAAATTGGAAAGAAAGATAAAGTAAGTAGACCTGACCCCTTGAATGATTCCTCTATCCGCTATTCTGATATATAAATTCGATGTGGATGAAATTGGTGTATAAGCGCATTTTTTTATTTCCTTAGACTTAGATCGCGCAAGGCAAGAATTTTTCGCTATTTACGATTTCATATTCTTGTTACTAGACGTTCTATAGGAATAAGAAGAAATCGCAACTCTTTTCCGTTACACATAATGAATAAAGGGTTTCAAAAGGCAATTTTTCTTTATGGCCTTATAATATTATTATTGTGTTTTGAGTGGACCATTTGTGAGGTTGCACAATATTGTAAGAAGTGGTCTGATTCTGTTAGAAACAAGCCATGAAGCTGGAATTTATTCCCATTATCTAAAAAAAATGTTCATCCTTTCCTTATTTTACTTTTCTTTTGTTTATCTTTTCATCCACCGATTTTTCTTCAGTTTCTCCAAGGCATGTTTTTTTATATTTTCTCCCCTCATCTTTAGTTTCTTTATTTTATTTCATGTTTTCCTCATGTTTTAAATTTAGTTTTTTGTCCTTGATCCTTTTCGAAATTTATTTTTCTCCCCTCACAAAATTTAGTTTAATGTAGCCTCGTCATAATACATTTTTCTTTGTTTTCTAATACCATTGTAAGCTTCTCTTATAAATAATTAATTCTTCGTGACGGCTACGTGGCTTCCCTTGTGGGCTGATCCTGGGGTTTAAAAGATTTTTTCTATTTTTATGGGTGTTTTTTTATTTTCTGAAAAAATACTTTTAGGGAGCTGGTTATGTCCTGACCGTGCCTATAAACTGATTTCCTTATCTTCACTCCTTTCAGGGCTATAATTTTCTTCGGTACGAAAACTAACTGGATATAAAAAGGTAAACGGTCAGAGCCTTTTGAGCGCCTACTAGTGCTATTTGGTTCACGGACAGGTAAACTGTAAAATTTTAGCTTATAATATGTATACAGGGTACAATAATAATATAACTATTTACTATTTAGCAATTTTCTCAAAGGATCCAACGAGGACTGTCTGCTTCTAAACGATTTTGTTATGGGCCGAAGCTTGCATCGGAACGGGCCTATGGGCTCGGACGAGACAAATTAAAGGGCCGGCCTGCTCAATGAATTCGGATCCTCCTCGCTTGCAACTGTAATTGTAACCGAATCGGGATCGTCGGCTACGAAAGAACTAATCAAACGAACAGCAGGGATCGCGACAATCGAATCCCTGAATCCCTCAGCCAATCCAACCCCAAGCAACGAAGAGAGCCATGAACTGCGCGGGCGATGGGTGGCGGCGATGCGAATGCGTTCCGCCGCGTCGTCGAGCGCGCCCGCCGCGAGGTGCGTCGATCAATCCCCTAGCGGTCCCTCGTTTCTCTTCCTTCTCGTGATGCCGGGCAACCGACCATTGTTCCGGCTAAATAACTCGCGCTACAGCCGCTAAATCGAACCTTCGTAGTGCAAAACAAAACAACAATAATGATAATCTACTACCAACTCTGATTTGTCAGTGCGATCGAAGCCATCCTCGTTTTTTTTTGTTAACCTTCTTGTAGGGTTTCGTGTATAGGTGATGATGGTTAGAACTGTGAAATCAACAAATTAGTGAAGGGTTCAAGCGAACATGGATTTTTTTTTGTGTGTGTGTGGACTGCATTACTTGCTCAGATTTAATTTAACCATATTAATTTATTTGTTGCAACCAGTTCAATCGCCTCCACATCCAGCCGCAACGGACGACTCAACAGGTGAGAGCTTTTGTTTAAAGTTTAATTAGTCCGAACATTTAGTTATTGTTGATTAGCTATAAATTAAGCTATACACAAGTGAAATATTTTTATATCCTGCAAATATAGCTTTGCCTTTTTAAGCTTCCTTTATTTATCTATGGACTGGATCATTTGATTTACTGCTTTCTAACTTTACTCAATTTTTTTCTTTGAATTAGTTCGATTCCTCTTTCATGGATCCACAAGCTATGCCTGAACTGGTATTTCTTTTTGTTGTTGTCATAGTCTAGTGTCAGCAAATGTTAATAACCACAAACTTTATTTTATAATAAACATTAAAAGATTACTAACTTACACAAATATAGTTTACACTGCTGTCTTTGTTATACACCGGTGAAATATTTTTATCCTGCAAAAATAGCTTATCCCTTTTGAGCTACCTTTATCTATGGGCTGGATTATTTTATTTACTGCTTTCTAATCTTATTCTTTTTTTTTGTAATTAGTTCAATCCCTTTCTCATGGAGCCACAAGCTTTATAAATAGTCTATAAACTGAGCAAATGTTGGTAACTACTACAAACTTTATTCCATTACAAACATTCTAATATCCCTAACTTGCAAATATAGTTTACGCTGCTGTCTTTAATTTTTAAGGACCCTTGTCTTTTTCTGTATGCATGCAGACTTAAATGTTTAGTTTGTTGCTTGCTAACCATATTCATTTGTGTGCATCAGTTCAATTTCAATTCCCTTGTCTTCCAGCCACACACGACTCAACTGATGACTCAAGATGTATAACTTTTTTTTTTTGATTATTTGCTCTGTGCCTGCACTCTTCACGTATTGATATAAATATTGTGTAAACATTAATTTTTATCTCAGGCTACTCTCTTCGCTCGGCGTGTTTACGTTGGTGGCCTTCCTCCCTCTGCTAACGAACAGGTCTGCCTATCTTGCAACTCTCTCTTTCTTAACCTCAAAGGGAGAAAAACAGCTACGCATATACTGCCTAATAAATAAACAAACTAAAACACCATTCCAAATAATCTGCGATTGTTGGCTAAATTGGATTCCGTTCTGCAGACAATTTGAGTATTCTTTAATCAAGTTATGGCTGTTATTGCCTTATTGGAGGAAACACTGCTGGTCCCGGTGATGCTGTCTGAAGCGTCTTCATGAACCATGAACAAAGATTTGCTCTAGTGGAATTCAGATTGGATTGACCGAGGAAGCAAGCAATGCAATGGCCCAGGATGACATTTTGTTTGAAGGTGTGCCAGTGAAGGTTAGAAGGCCAACAGACTACAACCTTTCCCTGGCAGCAGCCCTGGGCCCGAGCCAGCCAAGCCGCAAACTGAATCTTGCTGCAGTTGGACTAACACAGCAGGATCAGCCGGAGGATGGTTAGAAGATCCTGACCGTATTTTTGTGGGTGGCCTTCCCTATTTCTACGCCGAAGCTCAAGTCCGGGAGTTGCTTGAATCCTTTGGACCTCTTCGAGAGTTTGATCTTGTGAAAGATAGGGAAACTGGCAACTCAAAGGGCTATGCATTCTGTGTTTACTTGAACACCACTGTCACTGACATTGCTTGCGCTGCACTAAATGGTACAAACATGGAAGACAAAACCCTTACTGTCAGACGAGCAAACCAGAGTGCATCTCAGCCCAGACCAGAACTGCTAAGTATCCTATTGAAGGCCCAGGGACAGGTGCAAATGCAGGTATATATAGACCAGCTTGTTTATTGCCATACTAGACAGCTTTATAGTTTATTCTCTAGCGTGCCATTTACATTTTCGATGTGCCGTTGTTGTGTTCTGACACAGAAATATGTGCGTGCTTTGTGTACAGAAGCTTGCCAATCCAGTTGGAGCGGCCCCTACAAAGGTGGTTTGCCTCGTCCAGGTGGTCAGTGCAGAAGAATTGAAAGATGATGAAGCGTATGAGGACATCAAGGACGACATGAGGCAAGAAGCATGCAGATATGGTATATCATTTATACCCTTTTTCGGCTCTTCAATTCGGTCTCCGTCCTACATCGAACTTCTGCTTGTATTTTATTTATCTGCTATTTACATAAATTTCCTAGGAATTCTTGCATGCAACTTTGTTATGTTTATGCACTAATCACAAGAAAAATTACCTTTTGATCAGGTAATCTGGTGAAAGTTGTGATCCCACGTCCTGACCCCAGCGGACACCCGGTCACTGGAGTCGGAAAGGTGAGCCTCGTGTTGCACTGACTTCTAATGTTTGAATTTTGCAGATCTCTTTGTGTGATGGCAAATGATTTCTGATGCAAGTGTTTTCTGTTGCAGGTGTTCTTGGAATATGCTGACGTCTACAGTGCCACCAGAGCAAAGATGGCTTTGCATGGAAGGAAATTTGATGGGAAGCCAGTGGTGGCCAGCTACTATCCTGAGCTTAAGTTTGCCAATTTGGATTTCGATGGATAACTGTAAGCAGCTTCTCGAAGGGAAAACACAATGACAATTATTCTTAAAATCCTTATGTGTATAAACATACTGTTTTCGCGGTCAATGTTTGTACTCTTACACCGGGAAAGTATCATTTTAACCCTGGGTTTATACAGATCCAGAAGAGGTGGTAAATTTTGATGATGAGCACGGGTGCTTTGTGTTGAGGACCAAAAGTGGCTAGAGGGCTTTGTAGTAATGTTCTAGGCAGTAAAACAATATAAAATAATATTTAGGATCGTCGCATTCGAAATCCGGAGGAAAAATAAGGAAAAAGACGGCGCCAAACTGGTCTGGCCGATTTCTCAATCGGCCGTGCCGGTTCTCATGTGCTGCACCGCAACGGCCCTAATAGCCTGGCCTAGCCAGTTTGGGACCTGACCAGACCGGTTTTTCCCTGTTCGAGTCCAAACCGATTACTTTCTAAAATGATTTTTGGATGTGTTTTGGCGTAGAAAACATAGAGATTATGATCTCGACTTGTCTCGTACTAAAATAAGACCACCCATCTGTCTATCTATATCTATATATATAGTATATAATGTATTTATAGAGCTAAAATTTCTCCCTATTTTTTTTGTGTGGCCTCGCCTAACTACTCTCGTCACTCTTTTTCCGTTATTACTTGCTTAAGTTAGAGTTGCAAAAACCTTATATTGATATTGCACACATATATTTAAGTTTGGTCAATCTCATGCCAATTTCCTTTATTGCACAAACTTCACTATGGGCGTTGAAATTTATTAATTTATAATCAAGCCCAACTAAATACGGCTCCTCACATGCGGTCCCTTTTAGTTTTTTTTAGCTTTTTTCTGTTTGGATTTTTTCCGAACAGCGCTCGTCGGCCAACGCGATAGCCTCGTGCGGCCTGTGCCTGTAGAGGGACTCGATGTAGAGCGAAGCGAACGTGCCGAAGCTACAGTTGTCCATGCAGCCCGAGCCCGTCGGCCCGTCACGAGGCCTGTATTTTTGGCCTGGCCCAATCACGGCATGGCCCGGTGGCAACTGGGCCCGGGATGGCACAGCCCAGAGGAGCAGGCCATGCCTGGGCCCTACCCCAGGCACGTGGGCCAGCTTGGCATGGCCCGCTCCTCAACAAGAGGCCCTGTGGTGGCCCAGCCTGCCAACGGCTAGCAGGCCGCAGCCGGCCCCCTCCCCCCGCGTCGTATATAAGCCAGGCACAACCGGCCACCTCCTCCACCCAAACCCTAATCCCCATTCCCCATTTCCACCGCACCGCGCCACTCTGCTCTCTCGCCCGCGTCAGTCATCGTCGTCGTCCCCGACTCTGGTGAACTCTATTCGCTTGCCGCCGCTCCCCCATCTCACCCTGTCTCCTCTCTAACTGTCTTGGCATCTCATCCCTTCTCCCTGTCTCTCCTCTCCTGTCGCTCTTGGTGAACTATGTGAGTTCGTGTTCGTTGTTCTCGTCCGTCCCTCTGCCACCGCTCGCTGTCATTTCTAATCGGTGTCTATGTCTCTCCTCTGGGTGGCCCTTGTCATCTCCGGCACCGGGCTACGGTTGCGTAGGTGTGTCCACGAACCCTAACCCTATCTATCGATGAAATATGGTCGACAGTCTACCGAGGGGTATGCCTACGATAGTAGATTGATCGGTGGAGGTGCGCGTGATAGGAACTAGATGGTGACGCAGGCGCAAAGATAACAATTTAGATAGGTTCAGGCCGTCAAGTCGACATAACACCCTACGTCCTGCGTCTTTGGTGGATTGTATTGATTATGGGTTTTTTCAAGGGGGGTCCCTACCCGCCTTATATAACCTATGGGTAGTGTTACAAGTCACTTAGATCTATCTCTAATCGGTTACATTATAAGTATTTACAAGGACTACAATATCTAGCATATCCGATCAGATCTTCCTTCATCGCCAAAATGTCATCTCGTTGCCTTGCGGTGCACGCCGAGCAGGGCCGAGCACCATGGGCTTTGATCTTGTGGGCTGGACCACCCCTGGCGGCGCGGCCCATGTGTCGCCCTATGGGTATCTGGGGTTGTACCGCCCACAGTTAGTCCCCGAGCACCTTATATTCGCTGAGTAATGCCGTCTTGATGATGTCCGAGCAGTATGCCTTAAAGCCAATCAGTAGAGACAAGTATCCGACCAGTTTAACTGGTCGACTACCCTCGGATTCATCCAAGTTAGGATTTGCCAGAAGGATGTAAGGAGCTCGAGTTTAAATTTTGAGAATTCTTCCCCTTAGGTGAAGTGTACACACTTAGGTTTCGTTGGCGAAGTTAGATGATTACTATCTCTGACTTAGAGAGGTAGATAAGTACCATCATGACTTAGTCAAGAGATGAGGACTTAGTCTGTAGCAAAATGTTAATACATGCACCGCAAGCAAAATGTTAATACATGCACCGCTAGGTGCAGTGTATACACCATAGTCTAGAGCCTGATAGTAGGTGGAGAATACACTTGGTGCCAGGATCAAAGAAATTAAAGTATCATCAATCAGTTGGTTAGACAACCTGTTCTCAGCTTAGCTGAGAGAGTATAAACAACAAACTCACCGCTAGGTGAAGTGACCACACTTATGTGGCAGAACCGTCCAAAATAACACGCTTTCGAAGGCGCTCGTCTTCCACTGGACACTAAGCACCTCGAAAGTGAGCTATATCGGACAGTTTCGTCGAGCACACCCAAGGGAGAACTCAAAACAATACATGTTTTACATCTAGAATTCAATAATGAGTACGAGCTTACAATACTTAGTCCATTCATACAACAAGAGTTCTTAGAAATTATTTATTACAATACCAGAGTTGAGAGTGCGATAATTAAACAGCGAAATGAAAATAAACATCTAGCGGAAATGATACAAGGATCTGTTTGTGCCCACCAGTAGAATCCTCCACACAAGAGCTACTCCTTAGGCTGTACCTGCAATAGGGGTAAAATAAACCCTAAGTACACAATGTACTCGCAAGACTTATCCAACTAGTGAGAATAGTTTCTCGACTCCAAGGAGTATGATAGGCAATATAGGTTTGCTATTTTGTTTTTGTTTGTGAAAAGCATTACTAATAGTTCATCATTACAGTCCAGTTTTATTAGTAGTCATGATTACTTCATTCGATAACCATTCTAGGTAAGCATTTGTTCTACTTTCAAGCAAGGGTTGAGCAATCAGAACTATTTCACCATCTTTCATCTTCCAGTTCTTACTACGGTGCTAGACCATAGCCAAGTCGTACCATCTCACAGAAACGGCAATTCACGAACCAATGTATCCCAGCTGGGTACCCTAAAAAACACGCCCCATTTGTACCCTAGGCACAAACAATACCAACACATTCCACTCCTATCACGGGGTCAAAATCCTGGTCCAAACTTAGACTACAAGCCCCCACACTTGAGACCGCGTCTCAGTATGGTGCTTAGACCTCCACCTTTCCCCGCCTCCAATCAGTCGGTCAGGAAAGAGTCAAAACCCACGATAAGAGCGTAACGAACCTTCCCGCTCCCATAAGCAAGTATGTACTCAGGATAATAAGTCTGTGACTTGACTACCATCCACAACAACGGACGGTCCTTAATCAACACGAACAGGAAAAACAGTGTAACCAAGCTAAGCCCCGTTGGCTGTGGGACACAACCTGTTACACCGACCAATATCCATTCCATATCCCTGCCCTGTGTCCATTTTTCCTTTCATTATTTTATCATGAGAGTAATTATAATAATCACCTATTGTGAGTAACGGCAGGTTACTCATGCTACTAAAAACCTAAGCATAGCAGCTACTCGAACCTATACTAGTATGACTCATAGGACAGATAAACAGTGATTATAAAAAATAAGGGTTATGCGCTGCGGCTTGCCTTGGGCAGGTGCGGTGTCAGCTGACTTAGTCAGTGGCGGCTCCGGAACCTCCTCCTGCACGAGAATCTCCTCCTCGTACTCCTCGACGATCTCCTCGAACTCTTGATCGCCGCTGGTCACGATCTTCGCCAACTCTTTCTCTACATGCATGTGATGATGATGCAACACTTAGTATTTATGCAACAACAACTCTTAAAATAAGAATACGCATACTAAGCTACTAAGCTAGCTCTAATGACTAAGTTACTAAGCTAACTATCATGATGGAGATCGAGAAGTACAAGGTGAAGAGAAGGATGCAGATCATGGTGCATGCATTTTTTTTACAAGAACAAGAGAACCATCTTCGCGATCTTCTCAGTGGTTGGTGTACTTGTCAGTATCTTAGGGACGCTCATGTCTCTCAAAAAGCGCTCTATAGTTTAGCTGCTTACTTGTTTTGTTGGTGGAATTGTAGGTGGACGGCTGTAATCCCTAAAGGCCTAAAAAAATGCTGATATGCACCTATTTAGGTGATTACTTTTGAGTTTAACTGTTATATATGTCGAGGGATGGATGTTATATACTTTGTTCCTGATAAAGTTCCCTGTATTTAAATACCATTGTGTCTTGTGTCAATATTGTCTATTGGCCTGTTTGTCTACTTATACGATGTTCTGATATATTGGTCCCATTCGCTGCAGATGAAAGCCGTTGCAGCTGCAGCATTTTAAGATCATGGCAAAGTATCTTACAGCCGATGAACACTTGCTGCAGCTGCAGCTTCAAGCTACAGGCAGCAGGCCCGTTGAATTTGGTGAGTCCATGGCTCACAAAAATATTTTAGCTGGCATTTTATGAACCTATATACAAGGATTTAATTATTTCATCCGGTAATAATCTAAAAGATTCTTAATTATTTTATTAAGGGCAGTGAATTAATTTTCTTTTGATGTGAAGCAAAATATGATGAAGGTCGGGAATGTAGATTTACTGCTACAGAATCTTCATCACTGCTGGTTCCAGACCCCTCATCACCGCTAGTTTTGGCCCTCCGTGGTGAAAGTTATTCAGCCTATTCGGCTGGGGCTAAAACGATCGTATACGATCGTGGATTATTACTGCTGGCTGGTTTGGTGTGAGAGAAAAA